CACACACACACACACACATACTAAATAAACTACTACTTACTTGTACTACTATTCCTACTTCTAGGTTTATCACTTATTGCGGGGCTTCAGGGTACGGATCCCCCACGATAAACGAGGGACTACTGTATTATTTACATGGTTTACATTAATTTATGATTCTACTTGCCAGCTAATGACACAAGAAATTAAAATAGGTTGTCGTAAGACTGCTGCTTTTTTTTTTAGATTTTAGTTTTGGTCTGGTGAAGGGGGAGTGGTGGTGTAGAGAAGGTGGGCCTGTGTTCGTAAGGTCACCGATTCAACTCCCCGGACCGACAACATCAAAATGTGGGTGGAAAAGGTGAAACACCCACACCTGTCTCCACCCTCATTTGCCCCACTCTGGGCCCTTGAGCAAGGCCCTTAACCCCACCATCTGTTCCCCTGGACACCCTAGATAGCAGCTCTCTGCTCCACACAGAAGACTATGGTAGCTGGGTGGTCTGTGGTTGTGTCAGGAAGGACATCCAGCGTAAAAACAACTGCCAAGTCTTTGTGCAAGTTAGTTCACTGTGAAGGGAGCAGCAGAAAGAAGAAGAAACAGTCGTAGTCTGGTGAAGACAGAAAACAAGGCCAGCATGAGAACACAGAAGACGAAAAAAAGTATTTCCCAAACCCACGCATAAAGGCTGTGAGAGTTCCCATCAGATTGGTATGCATATTTAAAAAAAATAAAATAAACAGTAGTAGGCCAGATATACATTTGATGTACATTCCATCAATTCTTGCATACTAAGGAAAACTACTGGATGAATGACAAAAGACCACATGCAGTGAAGAACTTAGGAGAATATGGCACAACTGTTAATAACTTTGTCATCATTTTTCAAGGGAGTGAAGTGAAGACAATCATGACTAAAATATTGTGATTTTGATGCAGCACCATTTAGCAGCTAATAATGAGAGCAGCTTTCTGTTCTCTCCCTTTCTTTCCATTCCCAGTTCTTCTTGGCAGGCTCAGGCAGCAGGAATGTGATGCTGCTCTGCGCTCTTTTTTTTTTTTTTCTCCTCTGGGTTGTGAGAGCCCAGACCCTTGCTGCTGCTGGCTCTTTAGGCAATAAAGGGCTGGACTTGAGTTCTCCGCACTAACTACAATGCAACATCGTGGTGATTGTTGTTTCTTTAACACCAAGAGGGAAAAGGAGCCGCTCCCCGGCGCCCCAGAAAGGCATGGCTGCACCTTCCTGTGTTAGCCTCTGATGGCTAACAGATGGCAGTTGAAGAAAGAGGAGGGGTCCTATGAGCTTTTTCTTCTGCTGCTCATTCATTTTGTCATACCTCCTGCATCTGTAATGATCATTTGTTTTTATTCTTTACAGCTCTTTTCCAAAAATGTTTTTATTCCCTTCATATTTATCTTCACCACTTGTTCCACTCCAACATGCTAACAAAAAGCGTGATTGTGAACCTGATGCTCCAGGAGGAGTACACCTCGGCCAGGTAGCGTAGAGGCACGTTCTTGCACCGTCTGTTGGAAACGGTGGCAGTCTCATTGTGACACATTTACAAAATAGTGCTTCACTAATGCTCACAACAGAAATACCAGATCTTTTTCCTCCAACTCCACCCCCATCAACTGAAAATAAACATCCAGTCTGAAAACTGAGCGGGCTATGTTGATTCTGATTGTGTGTGACGTCTACTGTAGAGGGGGTACTTATCAGGATTTAGTTTTCAGAAGTGCTTGTGCTACATTTATTTATTTTTTTAATAAATCACCCTTTAAAATATAACAAATTTCTATAAAGGTAAAATCATCCTTTATTACTATAACCACTTGTAAATATTCACATTTCCAGGGTTCTTGGTACTTGAATATTAAAGTGCCATGCATATCCCTCAAATGCAAAAAGAAGAAGAAAGCCTCTTAATGCTTATGAAATTGGGCACAATACACAGGATTATAATAATTTTTTTCACTAACTGACATTTTTCTTTTGAACTTGGTGCAGTCAGAGTGAAACAGGAAGTGACATCAAAAGGGAGCTCCCCTTTGTTTATTGAAACAATATTATTTGAACTTTGACTCTTGTTCATCTCTCTGATAGGGACTCAAACTAAGCTAAACAAAAACAAACACTAAATTCTACTGTACTATCTGTGTTCTCAGTTAATGTAGGAATGCTCTCGTCACACGCAGGTGTTCCCCTTTTTCATCACTTCCTGTTATGTACATGCAAATATCTCAACAGCTGTTCATCTCAGCGTCATTTTTTTTTTTGCAATGCTTTATTGTTATCTTTCCAAAAATATGTTCATATTTATTACAAAAATTTGATGCGATAGGCTCTCTAAAAGCTAGGGATGCACCGATCCACTTTTTTCACTTCTGATCTGATACCGATATCTACAGTTTAACATCAGTCGATACCGATCCAATACCAATCTGATACAGAAAAACTGCGCTGAATTAACAAAAATGGCTAAATCATGTCATCTGGACCTGTTTCAGAAACGGGTCCAGATGACATGATTTAGCCATTTTTGTTGTCTACCAGGATGATTGAGCTTACAAACCCAGTGCTGAATTAACTTAAAACATTTGTTTTGTTAAACGCAGACATGAATGTACTGAATTACAACTTTATTGAAAACTCTGCACCATAACAGCACACTTAAACACACCAAGAGCTTCACAAGCTTGGTCAAACATGTAAAAACAAGACAACTTTAATTTGTTCAGTCAGTATGCTAGCGTGTCGCTCAGAGCACGAAGCACAGAATTAGTGAATAGATCTGCCCAGTCATGGATTGGTCACATTAGGGATGTTTACATGGACATAAGTAACCGGATCAAATGGCCGGTCGGAATAAAAGTGTGTCATGTAAACACTCCGTTAGGGTTATTTTTTGTGTATTCGGCGCAATCCGATATAATTTGTGATCAGAACGAAACAGGTGGATTACGCTGATCCGTAACCCGATCGACGCGCATGTAAATGCTTGATCTGTTCGTTTTTATCTGATCGTGAAAAACTGACCTGACTGCGCATGTGCGACTTTGCCATTTCCGCCTGGCTAATGCTAATAATATTAGCATGTCAGGGGAGCAAAACTGGTCGGTGAGCGACACAACATTTCTACTAGAAACTTTGAAAGAGCTCCAAATGATCTCTATTACCTGTAGCTCAGTCAGGGAGTGCAGTAACGTCTCCACCGTCATTAAAACCTGTCGCGGGTCCATTTTGGGTGCTCAGGTTTGTTTACGTTCACCCCGGAAGTAGAACTTCTTCTTCTGTGTTTTTTTTAAGGAGAGTTTACCACTCTGCGCATGTCAGTACTGCTGTTCAGAACAAAGCCCGCTGCATGTAAACGTTCATCATGAACAGATTGTGCCCATGTAAACAATACATTTGAATTATTTAATCTGAAAACATTTCAATCCTGTCAAAAAATGTTGTGCATGTAAACATAGTCACGATACCTGATCCAGAAGCAGTCCCCCCCCCCACCCCACCCATATCGATACCGATATTGGTATCAGATCGGTGCATCTCTACTACATGATTGATAACGATACAAAGTAGTCAAACAAAATTGATAATAAAAAAAATTGATTAAATCACGGATAAAATGTAATATTTATCCATCCATCATCTTTACCCGCTGCTTTTTTTTTTTCAGGTTGCGGGGGTCACAGGTGCCCATGTCCAGCCATCAGTTTTAGCATAGCTAATGGAGAGGCGGAGGACACACTGGACAGGTCACAAGTCCATCACAGGGACACACATAGAGGCAAACGAGCCAACCATTCACATTCTCACCTTGGGACATGTTTTAGAGTTACCAAACAGCCTATCAAAACTGTAATATATTTTTTATATTTGATCATTTATTAGAATCAAAATCAGAATAAGCTTTATCATTATGCTGAAATACAGTGAGATTAAATTATATTCATGCAAACATTCCTGAACCCACTTAAAATAAACTTTTTTCTACTATTAGAAAAGCTGCACACTTTGTAAATAAATCATCCATTTTATACTACAATATATATTACGTATTTAATTGTAGACTGAGACACAACTTTACTATAATTTTGATCAAACAAATAATTGTTTTTAAGTGTTAATCTTGTTAAATTCTTGTTAAAGTCCACCCGTTCACACTCCCGCGGCCGCCATTTGGCAGCCAATCGATTTTTGGCACAACACCAGCCCACTTTTCCGGGTGGTCAGCTGTGACACATAATATATGCGACTATACGGCAAAGCAACTTATTTATGTTTTTTCCACTTTATTAGACTTTTTTGGACTCATGCAACTTATATGATGGTGCGACGTGTACGGCAGCAAGTACAGTACCTGTTTTTCTTTCACTTTGTTGTGTGTTTATGATGGGACACTGTTTGGGCTTTCTGCATACAGATTAGTTCTTAAGCAGACTAAAATACATGTTTATATTTCTAAATACTTTATTGCATCTGCTTGAAAAAAATATCTCTCAAAACCTTTTCATCAGAAAATTATATTTTTATCATTATTCCAATCAGATTTTTACTTTTTTATAATTTTCTGATTATTTTTCTTTCAATCACTACACCATAAAAATGGTTTAGTCATTGAAAACTTATGTTTGTCTGACAGAGAAACTCCTGCTGCTCAAAGTCTTGTGACTCAAACCTTCCTCTTTTTAGAGAAGCAACAAGAAAAAAACTCCACAATTTCAAAACTTTTAGTTATGCACCAATAGATAAGTATTGTGCAAGTTGGTGATTTTCACAGAAAGCTGCAGACCACTTATGTGTTGTGTCTGAGCGCAGAATCTCCCCGGCTTGTGCAGAAAATATTTTTCCCAGGGAGCTTATGTTGTACTCCCTTGTTTAACTTGAGGTCTCAGATGTGTTTAGTGACTGAGAAGGTTGGATCGTTTGAGCGACAAGGTCTGAGGGTCGCTTTTGAACGTAGAAATGTTTGCAACTGTATCTGTTCACATTTCACGCTTCACCTGTCATTTCAAACACGCACACATACAAGGCAAACACTCGAGCTATGTAGTACTGTGTGATCTGACCCCACCTGTTGTGCCCACTGCCCCTTAATATAGCCCACTGCTGTCATGGTACTTTCTGCCCCCTCTTCAGTTGCTCTGTGCTGTGAGCGTCATTATAGGCCCATATTTATCACAGCCTGCACACGATGGTTGGGGGGGTGGGGGGTCTCAAAATCACAAACAGATGTGAAATATTGTTACTGACCTGTGTAATTTCCCAAGTTTGTGTGACTCAGACACACTTCAGTATTGTGATTTGTTCTGTATGATGGCCATTAGTTGTCATTCCATGTTTTTAATGAATTGAGGAGTTACAAATAAAAAGCAGTAGACTGATAAAGATTGTCTTTGCTGTTAACTATTGGCTCTTTTTGTTCTCCGTCAGATTAGATCAGAGTTACTATTCTGTTTGATATCTTTGTCCTGGCCTCAAGCCATTCACAGATATACAAACTCACTAATTTAGAAAGCCAGGAAGATGCAAGACCCCTACTCTACGAGAGGATCTATTTTAAGACTGATTAAGTTGAGAGTCTTGGAGGATCTACTCTTGTTCACAGTTTATTTAGTTGTTGTTGTTGTTTTTTGTTGTTGTTGTTTTTTAGCATTTCTCAGCACTTTCTCTGACATTCCATTTCTCCTTTTACTCTATTAAATGGTTTGCCCAAGAAAACTGTAGAAAACTTTTTTTTTTATCACAATTCCTAAAACTCAGCATTCAGATGATTCACTAGTGATAGAAATTCTAGGGTAGTATTTTTTTCTTTACTTAAGATTGGCTAATTTGGTCATCTTTGACTTTTTTCTTGTGGTTTTTAGTTTGTTCTTTGTAATTTTTTGTAAAAATTAAATATATAAACCTGACAGAAAATAAATGGTGTAACATTTGATGCTTTGTTGGGTTTTTATAGTTTAAAATTGCAAAGAGAGCTTTCAGTGTTCGCTGTTTTTTGCCATCAAGCTAAATTACAGGTTTGGGTCTTAATAGGAAGTTTATGTTGAACTGGCCTATTTTAATGGCAAAATTTCTCAGATTTAATGAAATATTAAGGAAATTAATAAGAAAACGCTTACAGGGTATCTTTTTTGTGACCACCGGATGGCAGTTTAAGACTGTTTGAACCGAAGGATGGATAGTGAGTGAGCAATCAGCGTGTCTCTTTATAAAAAATGCGGGGGAGGCCCCTTGACGTGACATGGGCCATTTCTCCTTCCTTTTTTTCAGTTCTGAAAATGGCGGACGCTCGGTGTGGTTTGAGCTCTTTAGCATATCATTTTTCACACAAAGCTTTTAATAAAAAAATCAGTAAACAAGTTCTCAGCTTCTTTTTGCAGAGAAAAACAACTTTTTCCACGAAGGCACGGGTTTCAACTGTGAATTTTGACGCTTCGACAAGACGGAGGTTCTTTTTCCCTCCCCGAGGTCGGCCTGTTAGCTTAGCTCCTAGCTTAGCTTCTCAGCATAGCTGCTT